ACTGCTCTGTGGCTGACTGGCCTGGAGCAAAGCAAACATCAGACTCACACCTCACAGGGCAGCAGAGAGTAGGGTGAGCCCCAGACTGCGGGGCTGAGACCCCCGAATGGACATTACAGGAAGGCAGCCGTTCCCGACGAGAAGGCCCTGTCCAACGCTGGAAACGGCGCTCTTTCTAAGGCACCCACATCCTGTCTTTCCCTGGAGGAGTGCAAGCAGGCTCAGAATATTCTGGAAAGAGCCCTGGCCGGCTTGGCTCAGTGGATAGAGCATCGGCCTGCGGACTGAAGGGTCCCAGGTTTGATTCCGGCCGGGGGCACATACCTGGGTTGTGGGCTGCATCCCCAGTGTGGGGTGTGCAGGAGGCAGCCAATCAATGGTTCTCTCTCATCATTGATGTTTCTATCTCTCTCCTTCTCCCTTCCTCTCTGAAATCAATAAAGAAATATATTTTTTTTAAAAAAAAGAATATTCTGGAAAGAACCCATCAATGGGAAGTTGGACTCGGTCTGCTTGGAGGCCTCTCCGGCTCAAAGAGCCCTGGTGCTGAGGCCGAGGATGGACTGAGTTACTTATAGAGAGAGGGAGGGGCCTGTCCTCCCGAGGCATCAAAGCCTCCTGCCCTCAGGGCATCCTGAGCAGCTTTTATCATGGCCTTTGAAGGGAGAACCATAATCCCATGCTTAACCCAAAACATCTCGTGGTGGGGCCCTGGGCTTTGAACACGCCCTGGATCCTTCCCACCACCCGGCAAGCTCCTGGGGACCCCTCGGGCTGGAGACTTGCCCAACACCTGCTCCGGCTCCAGCTGGGGTGTCTCAGGCCTTTGTCAGGGGGAGCAACTGGCATCGGGGGCCATCTGATTTTGACTTCCAGTCACTGGGAATCCTCTGTAACAGCCGTGACTTCCTGGGATTCTATGAAGGAGCCGCAGGAGACCACAGCCGCCTTGATGCCTCCCCACGATGTCACTTGAGGCGCAGTGACATTTCAGAGGAAGTCATTTCTAAGGGAAGCTGCTTCCCATTGTTCAGTCCCTGAATAAAACCGAAAGTTTACGTCCTTTAAGGAATCTACTAGCTCTCTGGATTAGGTTATTAACTAATTAAGCAAGTAGTTCAACTGATCTGAGTCTGACTTTTCTCATCTGACAAAGAAGGAACATACGAACCAGAATTGACATTTTGTGCTCTTAGGACTGGCTCTGCATCCTGAGAGAGAGAGAGAGAGAGAGAGAGAGAGAGATATGGATTGACATTTTGTGCTCTTAGGACTGGCTCTGCATGCTGAGAGAGAGAGAGAGAGAGAGATGTTTCACATTAGTCATGTCTGGTCATTTGCATAGACATCTCTACCAGCCACTGAGACAGCGTACTCCGGTCCCTTGAATCTGCCTCCAGCTCTGGCTTGAAATAAAGAAGAGAAAGACACCTCCACTAACGAGACACGACACTGGGATTGTACCAGGGGGGCTTCTAGTTGGGCTCACACACACACACACACACACACACACACGCACGCACTCCTAGTACAAGTGCCTTTAAGGCCACGGACCGTACATGGTTCTACTTGGAATTCCTAGGACTGAGCACAGGACCTGGCACAAAGCAGCTGCTCAATAAAGAGTTGATGACGAATGAACGATGAAAGAACAAATGCTCATAGAACTTCCTGAGGTTACACTGCCCTTGTACTGAAAATATATCTGTGAATGTTTAGTGAACAGCTAAAATATCTTAGGAACTTTTTGTTGATGGAGAACAGAGGCCTGGGGGTGAGGGGAGATGACCTGTGCTCTTACTTCAGCTCCTCATGAGCTATGTGACCTTGGGCAGCCCCGGCCTTCACAGACCTCGGTTTTCCATCTTTAGAATGAGGGCATTGGATTGGATGACATCTGGTCTCCCTCACACGCTGATAGTGTGTAAAATTTAAAACAATAGTGTCTCACAGAAAAAAAAGTCGTAATTCTTTGTGTGTATGGTAAAGTGTTTTTATTTATTTATTTTTAAATCTTTATTGTTGAAAGTATTACATATGCCCCTCTCTTCCCCCATTGACCTCTCCCAGCTTGCCCCGCCCCCCCAGCACAGGTCCTCACACTGCTATTGGACATAGCCTTTTAAACTGTAAAAAAAAAAAAAAAAATCTACCTTCACAATCTTTGTTTTCTATTCATTAACTTGAATTCCCATTTTTTCATTTTCCAGGAAGCAGTGGCAAAGGTTAGGAACTACTCTTGGCTCCTCCGAAGTCTGATGCGCACCTGTCCTGCAAGTGAGCCCTGACCTCCGCCAGGAGCGTTCAGGGGAGAACGGCGCCAGGGACACTGAATAGACCTGGAGACTCACAAAGCAGCCTACCCAGGAGACCAGGAGCCCTGCTGGCCGTCCCAGGCTCCATCCAGAGCAGCCGGAGCTGGGCGTCGTGGGTCTGGCTTTCAGGGTCCCCTCTCCAAAGCCCAGCTACCCGACCTGTCCTGTGTCCCAGGAGCAGAGGAAGGTGGCTTTCCTCGGGGCTGAGTGAGACCCTCCAGTGGCCAGTCCACCCTGCCAGACACACCGCGGGCACAGATCCTTGGGATGGAAGAGCGGTCTCCCTGTGAGGCCCTGCCCCCAGGTACCCTAGAGACATGACGACTGCTGGTCTCCCCGAGAGAAATGAAGAGGGCTTTGGGTGCTTCGAGAGGGCCCCAGCCCACCAAGATCAGAGTCCTTGAACCAAAGGGAGAGAAGAATCACTCCCACCCTGAGAAGGTGCTCCAGTGGTTCATAAACTCATTCTTTACTAGAACATTCCTTAGACTCAGCCCTGAAGAGCTGGAAGGGATTGACATCAGCAAAGAGTACTCTGGGGGTGGCACTTAATGTCCTCCAACCACGCCAGCGAAATGCCCCAAATTCCTTGAAAGGGTAGGGTGGGAAGTTCCTGTGAGAAGCACACTGGTGAGGCCACTGTTGACGACATGTGCCATAAAAGTGTCAGACTCCTAGGGAGAGAGCCATCCCCAGGCCAGTGACAGCGCGCTGGCAGCAGCAAGAGGTGTGAGGTCACCGGCTATGGCTGCTCCGCCACTCCCTGAGGTCACTTCAGATGGATGAAGCCAAGCCACACAGAAGCAGCTGCAGATCCAGGCCAGGCAAGAAAAAGGAGACACCACCTGCATGGCTGCCCAGAGCCCACAGGGCAAGTCAGTTTGCCAGGTGGGTGTCTGGAGCAGAAGGTTCTTCCTTGCTTCCGCTGGCCCATGCTGGAGACTCACAGTGTCCACTGTGTGGGCAGGTCTGGCTACATAACTTGCGGGGGCCACGGCAGCCACGAGAGAGCAGCAGCCATGGCTCTGGGATACCCGTGGCCGTGGCGCCTCACCAAGCACACCAAGTCCATGCAGGATGTAATGGGAGGGGTGGGTGGCTTTGACCCCTGTGGGTGGCATGCCATGGAGTTGCTCAAGGTCTTCAAAGACAAGCAGGCCTTCAAGTTCATCAATGAAAGGCTGGGACACACATCCTCCCCAAGAAGAAGAGAGAAAAAGAGCTGAGCAACGTCCTGGCGACCAGGAGGAAGGCGATGGCCAAGAAGGACTGAACTCCCTTCCTCTCTGTGTGTAACGAAACCTTCTCAGGAATAAATCATAATAATAACTTGTGGACCCCGTGCAAAATGAAAGCGTGCGCTCCCTGTTCAAAACTTAAGAATTTCGAATTGGCAATAGCATCGCACCAAACTAGCATGCGCAGGGCCCTCCTGGGTGCTGGGCTCGGTTCAGCTGCACAGGTCTCATGCCCATGAGTCCGGACCCTCTCTGGGGATTGTCTGCTTCTGTGTGAGTCCTTCTTCCCTTTACAGATCACCTTGAGAGTGTGAGGATAAATTAATCATCAACACGGTTTCTTTCTGCTTCCGGAAAATAAACTTCAACAGGCAAAGTGCTTCCACTCCACAAATGTGAACTGAGCACCTACCTCCTGCCAGGCACCCAGCGGTGAATAAAGGCCGCGCCCTCCTGGAGCTTCCATTCTAGCAGCGGAAGAAGCCTCTTGCTTCAGGCCTTCCCCCAAACCTTTTGGAGATGGCTTGCAGGCCATCAGCCTCCGAGGTAGCTCCCTCATGAATCAACCTTTGTCCCAGAAAGTCATGCAGTTCAATATTAGACGATTCCTTGGATTTTTTTCACATGTGTTACTTTTGCCTCCAGAGCAAGCCCATGAACTCTTTCTCTTACATGGAAGGTCCTCACTGAGTTTGTCATTCAACGGTGCCAGGCCCACCCAGCTCTAGGTGCCTGGGAGACAAATAATTATAAGACAGGTCCAAGAACAAAACAAACAAAACAAAAAAACTACAACAACAAAAAGCAAATAACAAAAAAAAAGAGAGAGAGAAGAATTATAAGACAGGGTCCCGTACTCCAGGAGATCACGTTTTAGATGGGAGCCATATAATTAATTAACAGCTACAATAAAAAGGTATGGGACTGGCAATAAAAGAAGGAACAATGTGTTTTGAGCAGAAGAGGGAGTTAGAGGAAGTCAGGAAAGGCGGATGACGTTTGAGATCTAACTGCTTTGAAGATCTAGTGGAAACAAAACCCAGGCTTGTCCCTTCGCGGGGACCTCTCCCAGGAGCGCCTCCTAGCTAACTGCAGGCCCCCTCCCTTCCCTTCCCGGCAGGGGAACACCTTCAGTTGGTCTTGCCTCTTGAGAGCGCCACCATCTGATACTTAAATTCCCTCTGCAGTATTTTCCACTGCGGTTAACCAGCTGTGCCATGCATATGTTCAATGACAGTGAGCTCATGACCTTGACTCATATCTTTGGGGACCGTTCTGATTGCTATCGTATTCTTCCTTCTTTCAAGCCAAAATCTGCCTCTTGAATGTATCCTGTTGGTTCTGCCCTAGGAGCCCCACACAGACTCAATCACTCAACTCACTCACTCAACAGACGCTCGATGCACACCTTCCATGTCCCAGCCAGTGTGCTGGGCACAGTCCTCAACCTCAGGGGCTCACGGGCTGGTGGGCGGCTTTTGGAATATGATGGGCAGGTGCTGGGGTAAAGGGAAGGCAAGGGGCTAGAGAGCACCTCAGAGGGTTACCCCCTCCTGTCCTGAGAGGTGAAGGAAAGGCTTTCATAGGAGGCGATATTCACCCCCACGGCCTAGGCCCCAAAGTCCACTACCCACACCAAATTGAAAAACTATTGCTCTTTAAGCACATGTTTATTTCCAAAAGACAAAAATACTGGAGGATTCCAGTTATGACTCCCCTGCCCTTACCCTGTTTACTGAAATACCCAGATGTTGAAGGAAGCATGTCCACAGAGAGCACCCAGGGATGGGAGTTTAGCCGGGTGCTCTGCTATCTGCCCCAGCACCTGCTCACACAGACCTGGCGAACAGTAGGTGTGCAGCCCACATGTGTAGAATGGACTGGGCAGCCTTTGGGTCCTGATGCTCTCCAGTCAGCTTCGCTGTGCGAAGCTGGTGAAGCCAGGTGAGGCGAGAGACACTGTGGGCACAAGACCTTCATTTTAGGCAGCTGGTGAGAGAGGATATGCCTTCACGCTTCCTCCTCCCACTGGCTCTGGGCTCAGGGCAGCGGATGCCCCAGAAGATGAGCTAGAGCTAGACCCAGATGGGCATTCTCTCCTGAAGGCATACAACTGTGTATAAGAAGATGCAGAGGGTCTCCCCAAAAGAGGAAGACTCTGCTTACCCAGAGGAGGGGCTCTCAAATGCCCCTGGCTCTGAATCCTGAGCCCATCCTCCAGCTCCCACCCCATTAGCATTGCCTCCTTGCCCTGCTCACTAGCGCTAGCCCCCAGCCACACACACACACACACAGGCAGGTCACAGGGCTGCTGATGATAGGGGGAACCGTACCAATTACCAGGGCTCAGGGATCCAGATGGGTGGCGGATCAAATCCCACATGTAAGTCCTTGGCCTGTCTGTCCTTGAGAAGGAGCCCAGAAAGTTTTTCCTCTGGGCCTGAACCCATTCCTGGTGGCCCTCACCAGTTGAGCCTCGCCAATGCCTGGACCACCAGTGGTCAGTCCGCTGCCCTCCAGAAAGCAAGTTCAGGTCCAGTGCAAGCCTGCCTCCTTGAACTCAAATGGCATTTTAACTCTTGGTTTTGTCACCAAAGAGGAGCCTGGCAAAGTTGGTGTGGTTTGAAGAGCATGTGTCAAAAGCCCACGCAGGGATCCACCCCAGACTCGTTTTCAGCACAAGCTCTAAAAATCAGACTTTCTACTTTCAGACAAGGTAAGACACGTGACTGTTGCTGGCCTTGCCTTCCTCCACTGACCACCAGCGCACCACCTCCCCGGACCTGGAGGTCATCAGGTCACAGACCACCCCCAAGTTTGGCCCAGACTCCTCAGAACCTGGAATCTAGCACAATTGAGTGGATTTAGACATCTCTTTCCAAGTCACATGGAGAAAACCTGCCAAAACGAACCGGGAACAGCCAAGTCTCCAGTCTGCAGCCAGGCCTCCCCAGGACGCAGCCCCGGATCCCGTCAAGGCCAAGCATTACCAGGAACTGAAGTTCAGGTTCAGCTTTCTGGAAAAGCTGAAATGTGGGGAGGATGAACACAGAGGGATTTACTCTTGAAGGAGAATTTCCATATTGCACCCCTGCCCTATGCTGCCGCCCCTGATGCTACAATTTTTTGTTCTTATTTAACGAGAAAGTAAAAAAAAAAAAAAAAAAATGTTTTTTAATTGGAGCCAACCTGAACAAAGGGCCCCCCTCCAGTCTGATCCTGCAGTCTAATTAAGCCCCGCTCCTACCTCTGTGCCAGGAGAACCAGTTTGGCCAGACTTAAAGCGATTACCAGCTCACTTGCGGTGAGTTTGGTAAACTCCTGCAGAAATAGCGCACTGGGCTCTTGCTCTCCGAGGCGCTGTGTCAGATGATCAAGTCTCCTCATTGCTTTGTTTTCCCTTTGTTTTGCTGAGCTGCACAATAGGCAGGGACTTGCTTTCTCGGGTTACAAATGCAGCCTGAGTCCCAGGTCTTGCACACACAGGACTAAAGGATGGCTCTTTCTAGCACATGTTTCTTGATCACTTAGAAGTGGGCAGCATTTTTTCTTGGCATTCACTTCATCTGGAAAAGCAACTGGCTCTCCTTCCATCTGTGGCCATGTCAGTGAGGTGAGGCTGGGCTCTACACCCTGGCTCTACACCCTGGCCACCTTGCTCCTCATTATGTGTCCTTGGGTCAGCAGACTAGTATAGAGCCCATCCAGCCCCTGCTAAGGACTCATGAACACCATGCTCCTAGGAAGAAATCCTGCTGGTCCCCAGACCCCTGCAGCCTTCCCCTCAGTCCTCAGGGGGCTTGATTGCTGTCACCACATCTGGGACTCAAGTGGTGGGCACTTCTTCCCTGAGTGCCAAGTCAGCCCATGCTATCCTGAGACTCTCCCATTTATCAAGAACCCTCTGAACCTGAGCTATTATTCAGTAGCTTACTAGTAACCAAGCCCCTACTATGTGCCAAACCCTGCATTAGATGCTGAGGTTGCAGAAATGAGTATGATGTGATACACTGAGGAGCTTACAGTTGAAAAGGTCCTTGATAAACAAGAGTTGTTATTATTATACACTCACTTACTCAACAAAATTTACTCCACTTCTACTTTGTGATAAAGGTACTGAGATGTATCCACCAGAGGGAAGGTAATCACAATTTATGGAGGACTTTGAGCTGGATTTTTGTGCCAAGTACTTGGTTGGACCTTATTTAATCTTAAAAACTAGTTCCATTCTACACATAAAGAACCTAAGACAGGGAAGGGTAAAAGTAATGGGCACAAGAATGCACAGATAGTTGTAGACATAGCTGGGGCTCCTGCTTGTAACCCTTGATTTTCCCACCAAAGACACTACCTGGTGTGCTGTTGCAGGAGATGAACAATAGAGTGGGATAAATGCTATAATCGGGGGGAGGGGAGACACACCCTCGATGCTACCTTCCTCCCCCTGTTTCTTGAGGTCCCTAGTAAACTCCATGAGCTGCAATCTCTTCCATCACCCAACTGAGGATGAGAGGGTTATGTCCACCCAGGATGGGCCCATGGTCCAAGCTGATGCTGGTCCGGGGCCTCCTCTGCACCCAGCTCATCATGGTGCTGGGACTTCTGAATTCCCTTGGTTAACAGGCGAGACAGCTCACCCGTTGGTCACTATGACACAGGAGGAAGTCAGATCATATCAGCCTGAGGGAAAACTCATGGCTTTCTCAGCACAGCTATCACTCTTGTTCCCTTTGAGTTGTTTGTGCCTTCACTGCATTTCGTCTCTATTTGTTCTCTCAGATTTGGCAGGTGACCAACTCTACAGTGTGTAATTCTCCGCTGGCACAGCTACCCACCCCTTCGGAGAGCCCAGGTTGGCTAACTTACTTTGCTATTATCTTGTGCATGAAATCTAGGTCTCCATTTGGCCTATAACTCGAGACTTCCTTGGAAATAATTTTTAGCCACGAGATTGCTCAACCTAGAGGAAGGCAGATGGATGGATGGATCTTCCCATGTACAGAGTCAGCCTGGTTTTGTGACCAGATACCACACTTTCCCATATTAGGCCATCACTGAAGAGTGTATACTTTACAAGCGACTTATTTTTAAGCACCCATATAAATAATATATTTTACTCTGTCAGAGTCCCATTTATAACCTTTCTACCATGTAATAGCAAATGCATTCCTGCATTCCGGGTAGGTGCCTCCAGAAGGTTTCAACTGTTTACCCGAAGGCCAAACAAGTTCTGGAATCATACGAAATCAATCATTAACAAAGCGACGAGACGTGTGCTTCTGGTAACATTGGTTTCTTCCCTTTTCAGGATTGAAGGGAGAAGAAAAATGGCTCCAATGACAGCCAGAGGACAGAGGTCACAGGGAGTCATAAAAGCCTGAGGCCTGCTGCCACAGCCCTTAGAATTGCACTTCCAGGTCATCATTTCTAAAATGAAAAAAAATGGGCCGCTGTGCCAAGCTCCCAACCCAGAATCCAAAACTTCCCAGCTTCCTTCAAAATTCCAGCTCAGCGGCCAGTGACAGCAGCTGAGCACATCCAGCCACCCACGTGGTGCATCGGAGGTGGCCTGCTGCCCTGGAAACGTGCTCCCGTGCTCCGGCTGCCTGCTCATCCCAGGATCACCCGCAGCGTTTCTGAAGGGAGCTCCTTGGGCCAATCACGTGGTGATCCCTCCCAGGGGCGGGGTCCGAGAAGGCCTTCTCTCAGTTGGTGTTATCAGCGCCCTGTCTGGCCTTACAGGAGCACTTTCCCAACTTCCCTGGACTCAGCTTCTGCGATAAAAACAGTTGGTTACTTATCATTGCTCACTCCACATAAATCATGTCCAAACGGGGTGATGTACTTGCTTATTCTTTCCCAGTACCCGAGATTGCTGGACTATCTGTGTGGGGCCCAATCTTAGCAGACCTTCTTCTCATTCCCCACAGAAGCTATTCCCAACCTGTGTCAGTTCCTTGGGTTTTTTAGAAGTTGGCGCTCTCTAAATTTCTGCCTTTTCCTTAATTAAGGAATTCATTCCATTGCTACTTATTGAGGTCCAAGCCTTGAGATAAATCCAGTCCCAGCCAACATGTTGGTTACAGTTTTCAGAGAGACCCTGAGCCAGAAGACCCAGTTAAGCTGTGTCTGGATTCCTGGCACGCAGAAACTGTGAGGTAATAGATGTTGTTCTAAGCCACTCATTTTGGGGATAATTTGTTATGCAATAATAGATAATTGACAGAGATTAAATAAAATGATAAAGAGCTTACAATAGTGCTTGTTGCACAATCTGTATTAGCTATTATCACCATCATTTTTATTACTTGTTTAGACCCACTACTAGACTGAAAGCTCTGTGAGGGGAGGGACCAGGCCTCCCTATTGGTCCACTGGGTCCCAAGTTCTGGTATAATGGTAGGCACAGAGTCCTTTCTTAGAGTCCTTGCACAACAATAAATATTTGTTGACTAAGAGAATGAACAGGAAGGAATGAACTGGGGCCTCTACACTCTTAGCTCGCAGGCTAGAAAGGGGGCCTCTGAGAGTTGGGGGATATTCTGAGTGCCCAGATTCCTCATCCAGCCAGAGATGGACCAAGGCCCCTTTGTGGTGGCACAGCTTTCCTGAGCCCAAGCTGCATATTTCCCAGGAACACAGTTATCACAAAGCTAGGCCTTGTGTCCACCTGGAAGGCACAGAGAAAACAATGAAACCATCATCACCAACCTTCTCTCCTGGCCAGTGTGTGGCCAGGGAGGGCAGGGGAGAGGCTGTGTTTAACTTGGCTGGGTAACATAGTTTTTCTTGATTGGAGAAATGTATGCTGAGGGTTAAAAGAAGAAGGTAGTTCTCACCCAGGTGAGTTCTAGTCCTCAGAGGCCAGCCCCTGTCTCCCCCCCACACACACACCCGAAAGTGATATACAAAGAAGCTGTACCTTCCATCTGCACATCACCCACTCTTAGGAGCTTTAAAGACTCAGTTCAAATGTCTCCTCCTCCATGACGCCTTCCCCAGCTTCCCTTGCTCCTGGTGTGCCCTGGGCTTCATGCCTTCAATTGAGCGCGCTGTACTCCAGGTCTTAGTGAACGTACTCCCGGAAAGCCCGGCCCGCCAGGGCAAGGACAGTGTTTTTCAATGGGAAGTTTTGTCTTTAAAATGAAGGGGGGAATGTGAGGTGGGAGGTGGACGGTGAGTGAGGCCCTGTCCCTGCTATTTGCTTTTGTACCGCTCCTCGCAGCAGAGCTGAGGAAGCAGGTGCCAGGGCTGACAGAAGTACGGAGAGCTGTTGCAGTCTGCATTCAGGAGTGGCAGAAAGAAACCTCTAGAAGGCATGGGACCCCCTTTGCACAATGTGGAGAGAAGACAGGGGTTCTGCGTGGCTGGTCCTGGCAGGGAAGCTCTGTGAAAGCGCTGTGCTCCCTGGAGTAAGGAAGTCCGGACCGCAGGGCACATCACCCGAAATCCGAAATCCGAGCTACTGTCAACTAAACCACCTCCCCCCTCTGAGCATTGACAAGGCTCTACCTTAGTCTAAGTCAGTGTTTCTCCAAGCGTGGTCGGTCCCCAGACCGGCAGCATCAGCATCACATAGGACAGTGATGGTGAACCTTTTGAGCTCGGCGTGTCAGCATTTTGAAAAACCCTAACTTAACTCTGGTGCCGTGTCACATATAGAAATTTTTTTATATTTGCAACCATAGTAAAACAGACTTATATTTCTGATATTTATTTTATATATTTCAATGCCATTTAACAAAGAAAAATCAACCAAAAAAATGAGTTCGCATGTCATAGGTTCGCCATCACTGACATAGGACCTTGTCAGAAATTCAAACGTTCAGGCCTCATCCCAGACACACTGTGTCAGGAGTGTGTAAGCCCTCCGCGTAATTCGGATGCATGGCTAAGGCTGAAAACCACCATTGTAAGTACACTGCCCCGCATGTAAAAAAGACCTCAGAAATACAATCCGGATTGGTTTAAAATGAAGATTAAATGAGAACCTAAGCCAATGCCCCTTGCTCTAAGATGCCCAGGATCAATAAAACTCCCCACTATCCTCCATGAAACAGTTCCACGGGCAATTTAATGAAATCGGCACATTTATTTTAAAATGTGCAAAATGATTTTTCATATCCTAAGAGTAACACCAGATGTTTTAGCTCTTTTTCCTAATTGATTTTCCAGCCTACAGCAATTCATCTTTGTATTTTCCAGTTGGATCCTAATGCAGCAAGAAGAGCGTGTTCCGGCAGGATTATTAAATGCCATGCATTTTAAAACAAGCACAACTCAGGCCGCCATGCGTCATCGGAGTGGTTGTCTTCCCGATCTATTTTAGAAAGCCAGGCAGCTATAGGTACCAGGCAGGAAACCCAGAAAAGGCCCTTTTGGGGGGCTGGGTCTCCAGGCTCTTTGCTGGTTGCAGAGCTGAGTCCTGGGCAGTGAGCCCAAGCCTGAGCTGTTCTCTGAGTCCTGCGCTCCCTGGTACGAAAGCGCTTGCTAGCTGTAAAATCTGCAAGTCACATTTTGTTTTTCAATGGGAAGTTTTGTCTTTAAAATGAAGAAAAGAGAATGTGAGCTGGGAGGTGGAAGGTGAGCGGGGCCCTGTCCCGGCTGAGCCTGGGGAAGCCCAGACAATTCCCCTCTGTTGGCCAATGGGCCTGGCTGCACAGGAGGCCCTGTTCCCTGGGTGTTGAAGTGGGTGAAAGGTCACCAGCGACCAGGTTTGCCTCACTCAACAAAAGCTCTGGATGTCTGGGGAAAGACCGGGGAACAGAAGCCTTAAGCTTTAAAACAAACTTCCAAATGGATCTTGTGGGGCTCTGCCCAGGGTGTGGGGAGAGGGGGAGCGAGGGGGAGGGAAGGGGAGGGGAGCCACTAAGTGCTAGGTCCCAGAAAGTGCTGATTCCTAAAGCAAAACCTACACTTCTTAGGGCATTGGGAGAGGCTGGCACTATCAAACTGCCTCCCCTGGAAGCTGCTGAGAGTCGGCAGGTCTGAGCCATCGTGCCCGGACAGGATCCTCATGTGGTCTCCGAGTATGTCTGCTAGTCTGGTTCTGAGACCCCTCGCAGCCAGCTAAGTGTCTGAAATTAGAGCTCATCAGGATTAAATCTTAGACTGTGACTGCTCCAACTTTAAGTAACTGCCCCCCCCCCAGCCCCAAACTCAGCACTCTGTTCATACAGTGGCCATCTCAGTACTTAGAATAAAGCATTCTAGGTCCCGTATAGACGCCCATGCAGATGAAAGTTCAATGATAGAAGCCAGCTCTTGATTTGGGCTCTACCCAGGAGCTCCAGCCCCAAAGTAACAACCTGCAATTTCATGGGGTACAGTGTACAGTGGAACCTCGTTTCTCGAACTTAACTCGTCCTGGAAGGCTGTTCAAAAACCGAATCATTTTTCCCCACTAGAAATAATGTAAATTGAATTAATCTGACCCAGACCCCCAAATGATTCCGTTTTAGCCTTTCTTATACACAGTACATGTCTATTGTATTGTTTAATCTATAAACACTTTAAAAACAAAAAGGACATGAAATGAAAATTTAACATAAAGGAAATGTACAGTAAAAAATGTAAGTTTTGACACTGGGTGCCTGGGTCATTTATCTTCCTCTGGGACAAGAGCACCCTGGTCTCCCATGGCCACCCAACCCCCACACATCCCAAAGGGATTTCATCCACACTTATTACAAATACTATCAGGGGAATGGAATTGGTGGGAAGAAAAGACCTTGCTAGCAGAATTCTTCCCTTGCCCCAAAATCACTGGGTTGTTTTTACACACTATTAAACCACAGAAGAGGGTGTTGGGGGGCTGGGTGGAGGGATTGAGCAAAAAAGAAAAAACCCATGGACACAGACAACAGTATGGTGATTGGGGAGGGGTAGAGGAGGGATAAATGGTGATGGAAAGACTTGGCCTGGGGTGGTAAAAATATAATACAATGTACTGATAATGTTGGAGAATTGTGCATCTGAAACCTGTATACTTTTGTTTACCAGTGTCACCCAATAAATTCAATAAAAAGGAAAAAAATTAACCACAGGAGCCATTTTATAAATGTCATCATCATAATTTTTTAATATTTTACATAAAAAAACTGTATACACAGCTTATAGAACTTTTATGTAAACATCATAAGCTCACCACTTTGTCATTTGTCAGTTTATTTTAAAAATAAAAAACAAGACAACAATTTAGTAGAAGTACCACTGGGTGGGGAAGGGAGGGGGAGGAAGAAGGCTAGGGGCAGGTTCATTCTCTGTACAGAGATGCAAAGAAAATTTCACATAGCTTTAGACACTGCCTTGTGAAGAAAAAAGGGGGGGGGGGTTAAATAGGCCCCAATACTTGTTACTGCCCTTTCTCAAAACAGTGCGCATACCTGCACAAATAAAATCGCAAAAAACGGTGTTGCCACTTTCTTTCAAGAAAACAAAATAAAAATTAGTGGTTTCTTTTTCAACTCTCATTTTAAAAGTCATCATCATTTTTCTTTAAAACATCAGAAGTCGATGAGGTTACAGCGTACAAGTGTGGTCAGAATGCTACTGTCTTATACAAATGACAAGTGCATTAAGTGTCAATGAAACAATTGTGCAAAGAATTCTTTCAAAAGAAAACAAGTTTTAAGCCTTTAAATAAATCGAAAACCCCGGTTTCTTGGACTGAACAATTTTCACTTGTAGGACAGGCACAAAGTTCGCGTATGGCAAAAACAACCCGCAGCACACTCTCCCTCCTCCTGCCCGTGGCTGGCGAGGGGTTCGCTGGAGGCTGGCGTGCAGGAGACGTCAATCTGGAAGCTGTGTCCTCTCAGCCCCAAGTCAGTTGCAAATGTCTTCCCCAGGGGTTGGAAAGATGACCAAGTCCTGTTCTTGCTTGGATGGGCGCCTGACCCAGAGCTGTTCTAGCGCCCTGTCACTCCACCCACCACCACCATTAAATAACACCATCCTACCTCCGAAAATAAAATTATATCTATATTTATATAACACCCCGCCCTCCCCACCCTCCCCTCCCGCCGTTCCCGTGGTCTATGTTACAGACAAGAGATAGCAGGCGCTCGCTGGTGCTGGTGACGGGCGCACATCTGATGGGGCGCGGCAGCACCGGGGCGCCAAGCTCCTCTCCCGGGACCAGAGGCGGGGGAGGTGGGGTAG